ATGTATGATAGCAATTCTTACGACAATGTATTTTCAGTTGAACGTTTTTTTTTGCGTTTCCTTGGAAACAGTTTTTTTCTAAGTAATAGTTTTTCCTTGTTAATAATTATTTTAACGTAAATTCAAATAGAAATCAATTAAAATAGTTATATGTTTGAACTCTATCATGGCTAGAAAGTGAGGGTTGGTTAGCAGCAAGATTCCATATTTGTCCTGATCTAACTCTTGTAAAGATAGATGATATGAGAAATCAGTTTCTTCATGGAGCGGTACAAGGTACCAACCATTTTCCCAGCATCTTTAGCAATGGCTCGTATATATGAGTTTCACTAAACTCTGAGGTGAGGATGAGTCCCAATAAATGTTCTGAGCGAGGAGATAAATCCTCAGTAATTCTCGTTTAGCGAGAGTTGGGATTTGAGATTTTATCAACAGTTTTGTGATCTGCAACTGAATAAGCATTAGCAATAACTCCTCTCAGAAAGAAACGATATCTCATCAACATGTGATGGAAATTTTACTAAAATAACTACAAATTCATAAAGGACAACTATTCAGGAATAACTACATCACACAAATAAAATGTATTACTTTATTTCTTTTTTTTTTTTTGGTCATTTAATATCAGAGTGGGTAATTTATGTATCAGTTGTACCATTTTAAAATGAATTTAGACACTGTATAGTGTAGGAATTCAAAAGGTACTTATAGGCAAAGGAAGCGTAAAGAGATATTTATTTTGTGTATAAAACTTAAGCTTTAAGATTCAAGATGTCTTCATAATGATGCGGCCAGTTTCAATCAGGGCAATTTTTTTCTCAGAGGTTTCCCTCAATCTGGGCAACCAAGTTCTGTAAATACTATAAACTATGAATTTAAAACTGCTATTCAACAAAAGAATCGGCAAGAACCATTCGTTGTATTTATAGAAAGTAAGCTTTAAGTAACAATATATTCCAAGAATGGTTTAAGGAATTCCGATCGTAAAAGATTACTCTCAAAGATTTGTCTCAATCTAACCACTTCATCAAACTGCATGATCGAATTCTGTGGTGTGATATATTGAAATTCTGCAAACTGTATATGTAATTGAACAATCTTCACGAGAATTAGCAAAGTATTCACAATAAATGAATATGACATGCCTATTTGAAGCCGTAAAGTTTTTAAGATTAATCAATGAGTCTCTCGATATCAGATATTTGTCCATTTTAAGCAAATGTCTTGCCATGGCTCGTCACTGACAATTTTGCTCCTCTACAATTATAACCAACACTTTTCATTTCCAGTACTTTCCACTCAACCATATGTGTGTGTGTGTATATATATATATATATATATATATATATATATATATATATATATATATATATATCAAAAAGCTTATTTGTGTTACGTGAAACGTTATCTTATTGATACCCTATTTTAGTACGCGCTCCGTTTTTAAACTGTTTGCTTCCTTTACCAGCATTCACACTAGGAAAACCTTATAAAAGAACCTTTGCCCTTCATTGCAAGAATACCGCTGTTTTATTTATCCGGAGTGCATTGACTGTTCAGCTACAGAGCGCTTAATAGTCACGTAAATGGCAATAGAATCTTGCTTGACTGTGAAGCTTTTCCGAATGTGTGTGTGTATATATATATATATATATATATATATATTGATGGACATAGATTGATATAGATGGGCATTTGATAGAATTGTCGCTGAGGCTACAATGATGGCAACTATGGTCATATGAACATTTCTACAGCCGTAGACCATATTCTGGCTAGGCACGTCATACAATATAACACGGCCAGCCCTGCTCGATCCTGGGTTGTTCCCACGCTGATCAATACTTCCAATGCTTTTATGAGTCATTCCTTCATCTGTTTTTTGTCCCACGTTTTGTTACTTGATCACAGAGCAGTAAGAATAAATTAAGAGCTGGGTTAGACCGTGGTTAAACCGTGCAACAAAAGGACAAAGAACGCTTCTGCGGGCGAAAATAAAGAAAAATAACATAACAAAATAACGAAATTTTCAATTTGTTTATATAGTTTTTAATACAACAAAATTTACCCTTCTCGTTAAATTCTATTGTATCACTTTGTTTTTTTTTCTTTTAAAACTTGGAGCGTGTTCAGTTAACAAAGAAAGAGGTCGGTAGGGATTTTACTCATCAGCAAGTTACGTCGGATTCAGAATCTCTTTCGCCCGCTCCTGTCTCGTTTCGTTTCGTTTGCGTCTCTTGCCGACTCTCGCTCCATTTGCTGGGTCGCTTAAGCTCTATGTTCATAGGTTTTTGCCAGATTCCCGGCGCATCTCAGGACTCATCTATATGTATATCAATGAATAATTTTCTCCTATCTTGAAAAAATTACACTAACCACTCAGACAAAGCGGTCAGGTATTCAAGACAATACATGCTTTGCTTCGACAACAAACTTTGTTCATCATTCCTTTCTATATCCTGACGGCAATCGGCCTGCGATCAGTTACTTATTGAAAACAATATTTCCCGATAACAAATTATATTTATGTCCTTGACATCAAAAAAATATCCACTGTTGTTAATTTTCCAATGTGACCCATATAATTTTCTTCCTAATTTTTATGTTACAAAACAGTACTCCACATTGTTTACATTACTGGCTTTACTAAATCTAACAATTCCATTTGTTTTTGGCTTACAGAAAGAAAAAATCTCTGTTTTTATTCTCACTTCATATTTGACTTTATCTCTTCACCTTGACACTTGTAATGAACCATGGTAGTTCGAATTTCATGGGTACCAGTGTCACAATAGTGTCACAGCAGACGCTCGCCAATGAAATCACATGGGGTTGCCAGCATATATCAAATCAGATGTTTAAAAAATATCTTAACACAGGCCGCATTTCAGATTTTAAATAAATTTAGTCAAATGGCAACCTGAGATTGTACAACGTAGATTGGTATCGTCAAGTGCATATTTGAGACACAGACCCAAATCTTGTGTTCCTCATGTTGGGTATTATGAGTTATAAATGCCGTTTTTTTTGGGCAGTTGCGGAGAACACGTTGAACAGAAATATACATGTCCAGTATATATATATATATATATATATATATATATATATATATATATATATATATATATATATAGATAGATAAAGAGAGAGCGAGATCAGCTACCCTAGTTGTAACATTTTGAATTGCCGAAAGAATATAAAATGCCAATTTTTAAAATAACAGGTGCCAGCTACTTGATGATTGTATGAAAGCACATGAAACTTTTAGTTCGTTCTGTTCATTCTTCACATGGTATATATATATATATATATATATATATATATATATATATATATATATATATATATTATATGTAATTTGGTCAAAAATATCTACTTTGATATTTTATAAGTTTCTGACATATTCTATATAAGTAAACGCACATCAGATAAAAGGACACACCTGTCTATGAACAAGCAATAATCAGGCATAACTTTTTCGCCGAATTTAATAAAATGTTGGAATAAATTATTACTGCTGAATTTTATGTTACATATATAGGCTGTGATGGATAAATTGTCTACTAGATTACGGGAACATGGAAATAACTCTGACATCTCAATTTAACTGACATATTTACCAAAATTACCCAAGAATATCTTGAAATTCTTATGACCAAATTTATTTAATAAATTTGACATTGGCATCAACCGCTGCCTCCAGACGACTTCTGAACTGTCTCCTTGTTTAAGTAGCTGAATGTTGCCATAATGTTGTCTTCAGTTCATTTTTTGGTGTCACTAAGATTTTCGTTGGTCCCTCGCTCAACTGTGCCCCACACATAATAAACAATAGGCTTGCAATCTGAGCAGTTATGTGGCCAATGTAACGGTTATCGTGGTCGCAGAATTTGTCTGATAGCCATTGCTGGTTTTTCCTGGTTGAGTGGCATAGTGCAGATTTCTGTTTCCAAATATAGGGTCTGCCAGCAGCCACCCTCTTGATCAAGGACAGCACTACCATCTCAAAGAATTGATGTAGTCCTCCGTGTTGATTCTGACACCCTTTAGGAACATGGATGAAGTCATAGACTAGCCATCACCAGTGATTAATCTAAACACTGAGATATTGAATGGATAAATCATCCAACTCTTTCCCAATCCTCTGCACTGTCCTCAAATTGACACCCAAGTTTTCCAATTGAAGATTCCGACACGAATATCTAGTAGTACAACACGCTGTTTCCAAATGTCTGGAGGAAGACTGCATAATCGAAGATTAAAAGGTATATCATTATTGCTATTATTGGTGTAGTAAGCATGACAGCGTGTTTGCTGTTTCCAACCTCAGTGTGATTTACAGTCCATCAGATAATCATTATGCAATGTTGATTTCTATTTCACACAATCTATCTATCTATCTATATATATATATATATATATATATATATATATATATAGATAGATAGATAGAGAGAGAGAGAACGAGAAAGAACTGAAGGAAAAAGACAGAAAATTTTTAAAATTCGTACTGAGAGTAACATGAAAAAGAAGCGCATATGTCTGTCTGTGTATGCGTATGTGTGTGTGGTGGGGTGATCTATAATTTTCCCTAACCTAGTATTTTAAAGTGGAATCTATATAGCTGAAAAACTCAGGAAAAAAACTTCAAATGTTTTTATTCCGTTATCTTTCTTTTTCATTGCTGCAGATTATAAAGCCGACTTCCCAGCATTATCAATCAACTGACTTCGTTATTTTACACGTTTTGCAATTTACTGTTTAATTAGAAAATGAATTGTGCTGTTTACTCAAAATTATCTCGAAGTACATTTTTGCCTCGAAATGTCTTAATTTCATATTCTTCTATAATACTTTTATATTTTCTCTCCATCAGACTAAAAGAAGCAGCCACATCAATATTGAGAGGCCTTTTATGACAACCATTCATAACTGAGAAAGTTACATATTTTCCTAGATTGTTCTTTAGTGTCTTCCATGTCTGAGTATAAACCAGGGTAATGAATATTCATCTTCAAAGTAGACAAGCATACAACACTTTCTTGATTGAAAGATTAGCAAAATCTCAATCTCTCTCTCTCTCTCTCTCTCTCTCTCTCTCTCTCTCTCTCTCTCTCTCTCTCTCTCTCTCTCTTGATTTTTTTAACTGTGAAAAACATAACCTAGATGAATGAAGTTGTAAGAGTTGAGTATTTGACTGGTTGTTAGTCTGGATGTTATCATGTAAACACTGTACGATTCCTTTACATTTTACGCAACGTTCAAATTTGTTTTCAAAAATGTATTTATTATGTTTATTTAACTGACATTGTCTCTGTATAAGATAATGGTATTATTTAATTATGGATCGACCACAATAAATTCAAGAGAAATGAATACGATCAAACTGTAGTGTCGGTTCGTTCTACATGTAAATTTACATTGTTTTTTTCCCACAGCAGAATGTCGAATAATGACTGTATCATGACTGTGTCTTTAGCCTGTTTACCTCCACTCCGAATCATGGCAATATAGAATAGCAGAAACCTCAGACATAAACAATTGGTAAGTTTAATACAGTCACTTCCCGTATCATAATATGCAAGAAGACTAAAAAAATAAAAGATATCTCTTACGATCGGTAAACACACAACCGATATCCCATGGACAGCATATTTTGAACATCATTTCACTCCATAACGCATTCGAATATAGCTGTCTACAGATTTATATATTTTTATTTTTTAGTAGTTAATGACTCATTGACACACATGGAATACATTCTCATTGCTTCTCCATAGTTTTCAGTAAAGACGTTTCCTTCTTCTCGGCTGGCATCTACCCCAGGCAGCGTTATTATTAAAACCACTTCTGAGAGGAATTTGCGGGTTCAAAAGAATATTAAAAAGAAAGTGAACACAACAGACTATTTAACTCGGTCGATTCCATTTTTGACGCCAGTAATCATTAGGCTAATGAGAAGATTAAAAATATACCGCTGATATTATTGATAAACACAATATCGATAACCCAGTATACGATAAAAAAAGATTAAAAATAGACAACTCATATGATTAGAAATCACAAAACTTATGCATCCATTGTTGCTTAACACGATGTCGAGTCCAGTAAGACATTCAGGTTGCATCGGCGCCACATGCAATGCAGCCGTGACAGGAATGAGTGCGTCTTCTTCGAATGGATTTTGAATGCCGAGTTCACTTTTCTCTAGAATAAATGCCTGTCCTGATGGGCAAATATCCTTGAGAAACGCATGAATCCATCTCTTCTTCCAACTATTCGTTAATTAGTAGAACTTGTGTTAGCAAATCATTATCTTTAAATATTTATATCTATAATATTTCTACAATATTTCTAGCTGCAAATAACCTGCAAAAAGTTGATAAGCCGTAAAAGAAAAATAATCTAATATATGGTAAACATTCGGTAACTCCATGACTCGACAGCATATTATAATCGGCATAATTTCGAAAACATGCATTGTAAGTTTATTATTATTATTATTATTATTATTATTATTTATTTATGTCTATTCTTCTTCTTCTTCTTCTTCTTTGTGGTTCATTTCATTCGGAAGAGTACGATAGCTCTCCACCATTTCCTGTCTTTCACAATCACTTCTACTCCTTTTTCTGCTAGCGATTAACACGATCGTTAGGTATGTTACTCGGTGATTTCTCTGTCCCTCTTACCATCATTATGCCTTGTGACTGTCAAATTCTCCAAGTCCTTTATCCACATCATATTCCCTAGAAATTTCAAATGTCTCTTTCTGATGTTAAGTATAAATGTTCTTTTTGTTTCCATTTCTACTAAAACATCTTCGTTACTCATATATTCACTCCATGGTATCCTCAGTATCCTTCTGTAGAGCCACATTTCAGTTGCCTCAAATTTTCTCTTCATCTGTGAAGAGAATCTAGAATATTCACTGCCATAGAGGAAGACAGGTATTACATAAGTGTTATGTACTCTTTACTTTGCTTCTTACGAGATTTTTCTGTTTCTTAATACTTTGTATAACTTTTGGAATACAGGTTTCGCTATCCTTATGCAGATTCGGATTTCGCCGTCACATTTTCAATCACCTGATAAAAATCTTCATAGATATTTAATTTTTTCATTTACTTCATTTTGGCATCCTCAATTTGTAATCCACAAGTTAGAATCTTCTTATTGATGATAACTGTAATTCTGTAACTTTTAAAATTGACTTTTAGTCATTTCTTCTTACCTTGACAAAGTTAAAAAGCTAGTCTACCCTTCTATTTAACTCATAACTGCCGGAAGATGGATTCATGACTTTTCCAAGTACAGTAGTGCGATGTGAATGAATCAGAATCAACAAGAATTTGAACTCGACTTGGCAGTTTCACTTTCCGAGGGGCTAACCATTAAACTACTTGCATATAAGTGCTAAGATTTGATCGATTGCATATATAAATATTAAGAACTACAATGTCATTGATCTGAATTATATGCACTTAAATCACAATCTGTAAAATAAAATAACATCATCTAACTGAATACATAATGTATTCCAAATTTGGTGGAACATATATTTCATAATCGATGAAATAATGACAATATTGTAAACTGCTTCACATATCCCTAGCTTCAGACCAAGCTTAGAGGTGATTAAATTTGAAGAAAATTATAGAATTAAGTATTTTGAGACGAAGTCATAAATCCTCATTTCGAAATTATATTGACTGTTTTTCTCATCTTCAGAAAATAAAACAATAATAACATATGACTCTTAAATTAGTCAATTTAAAGAAGTGGAAAAAAATGTCAATTTTCATAGATATAACAATTCAATAAGATATTTTTTTTTTTCTCTCGCTTTCACTTTAATGGTGTATTTGCGCGCACACATCGGAATATGTCAATATTTATATGAACAATAGTTTTCAATTTCACTTTTTCTGATTAAAGAGAATTAGTCTAAAACTTCTTACACATTCTGCCATTAAATGTCGCTGCATGTCCACGAATATGCATCCAACTGGATTCATATATTTCCAGTCTCATTATTCTCAGTTAAATATAGTCAGATGGAAATTGACAAAGGTTAGTTAATTCCATTTATATTCAAAAGCTTCACAGAAGAAATTTCCTGGTCTAAAAACAATTTGGATCACATAAAATCGCTCACCACATGATCTTCAACTCATTAAAAAGCTCACCTTTAAATATAAACAATAATAGACCTAATGATGATGAAATTAAGGAAGCTATTAAAAAACTAAAGAATAATATATCATCACTCGATACAGAGGCAGAACTTTTGAAAATAGCTTACTTTCTTCTCGAAATCAAGAACAAGTTTATGTGTTGTATGAAGTCATGCATTATGAAAACAGAAAGATAAGCGCAAGACTCTCTCCGATACAGAGATATCAAAATTAGAACCAACATGGTAAAAGCGTTAATGAACATCATATTGACTAGGATCTTATTGTATTATGATAGTCAACATTTGAAGACCTAGTTTGGGTTTCCTTCTGGGAAGGAATGCAATGATGGCATATATGTCATCAACAACTCCATGAAAATTGATTAACTCTCTAACAGAAAACTGTGTACCTGTTTTTTGACCTCATAACAACATATGACTACATCAAGAGACTTTCTCTTCATATCCATTAGAAACCGCTGTCCAAACTCCGAATCCACTGAATGTATCGATCTCATAGAAGATATGTATCGATCTACGTAATCTTATATATCTGATGAGGACCACAATAGCGAAACATTTCAAACCTCAAGTGTCAGACGAGAAGGAAATAAGAGACCCACTCTATCTAATCTTTTCCTATACTATGCCCTGCGCATTTACAAACACGTATGTGAGATGTGCACATCCCAAACTAATCTACAAATAAAAGAAAACAATCCTGCTTTCCTTCCTGAGGCTAGTGTAATAATGATGAAAAAGGTTATGCTGATGACATAGGTATTCATAGTTGGGATAAGAATGATCTTGAACAGATAATCAACATCTTCTAACAAGTGTTACAAGAAATTGGACTCAATTTAAACCTTTCCAAAATAGAAACTAAGATCTGGAATTGGAATGCAGTGCTAAAACTTGCACTAAATCCATCATAAAAATTCAGGATGACGATATCTCGGCCTTATAACAGATTAAGTACAAGAAAAAATTATTGAACCTACAGTAGGGTGCGCCAGAGGAGGTTTAGCCTCAACACCGCAAATTGCTACAAAATCAAAACGTCATACTAAAAACTCCTGTGCTATATTAAATAGCCTCCACAGATATGAGATTTTCATGTAGGCGACATACATAGCGCCAAGTCCGTTCAAATATATCTAAATATTTAGCTGCATGTATTTAGCTTCCTAAGATCAATTGTGACACAAAGGCGAGTGAACATCTTTCTGTGAACATTCTTTGAAATAGCGAAATAGACTCACAAATAACTGTATCAAGTAAGACAAACCACATAACTTAAGAACTAACAACAGCAGCAACAACAAAAAAATCGATAGAAAATGTAACAAGCATATATATATATATATAGTTCCTATCAAATCGTGAATGAAGGGTGATTTGAAAGGGCTCATTTCCATATCCTTTGATACAAATACAGGTGTTCCTAACGACTCTATTCCTGATCCTAATCTGTTTTTTTATCTCCATCAATGATCTTCCTGATGACATCAGTTCCCAAATAGACATTTATGCAGATGAAACTACAATTATCTCCTGTCCCAAATAATATATATATATATATATATATATATATATATATATATAGATAGATAGATAGATAGATAGATAGATAGATAGATAGATCACAATGCCCAGGAACTACTTCGAACAGATCATTAGTGGCTTATGAGATTTTTTATGAGATCAAAGAAATCCCAACACATGTAAAACACCGAAAAAGTAGACTTCCATATATTGTTGTAAGAAACGATGTTGAACCTGGAGCACAATGCACCAATACATCTAAAATTTTGGAAGGATGTTCTTCCTCCTCGTCACGTAAATTCTGTTATTTATAAAAATATAATATAATATAATATAATATAATATATATATATATATATATATATATATATATATTTGAACTTTATTTCAATACTTCATGAGATTCCGATCCTTATCTATTATT